TCCTTTCTTAGCTAAAAGTTCCTTTTGATTTTTTTTTTTTTTTTTTTTTTTCCCCCATCATGCAGACGCACTGCTACCTGCCCTTTTAGGTCAGAACCATATCACTCTTGCAAATGCCTTCTAGGAGACAGGCCACTGAGGTGTTCTTCCTCCAGCTCACCTTCCATAGTGCCAACAAGTCCATCCTCTCTTCAATGAGCCACTTAACATTTTCTAGGGCCTTCCTGTTTCCACTCATATCAAATGAGTGCCAATTTTCAAATATCATCTGCCTAACTTCTACCTGACTTTCTAATATTTCTGTAGTTTCCCATGAAAACCTCTAACTTTATGCGTTAGGTATCTAGTGCTATCATAAAACAAATACAAGTGGGTGGCTGTAACAAACAGAAATTTATTTTTCACAGTTTAATAGCTTAGAAGTCTGAATTCAGGTAGCTGGCTGTAGGGGAAGGCTTTCTCTTGTCTGTCAGCTCTGGGAGAAGGTCCTTATTTCTTGGCTTCTTGGTGGCATAGCATCTATCTTCATGTGGCATGGCATATGTGGCATCTGTCTTCTCCCATCTCCACTTGCTCCTCTGTCCTAATCTGCTCATTTTATATCTCAAAGGTGATTGGTTTAAAACACACCCTACTAATAGGGCCTCTTTAACATAACAAAGAAAATCATTTCCCAAATAGGATTATAGCCACAGGTATAAGAATTAGGAAGGAGCTTTTGTAGCTTAGTGAGTAAGACATTTTGTTACTAACCAGAAGGTCAGCAGTTCAAATCCACCAGCTGCTCCATAGGAGGAAGATGAGGCAATCTATTTCTGTAAAGAATTGCAGCCTTGGAAACCCAGTAGAAGTTGACTGTGAGTCAGAATCAACTCAACAGTGGGTGGGATGAGGATTAGGATTTACAGCACACATTTTGGGAGGACACAATTCCATCTGTAACACCTCCACATGTTCCACTTGGTCCTTTTGGATTCTGCTCTGGGCAAGCCTCATATCGTATCATGATCCCATGAAAACCTTGTATTTGCTACGTTAGCCCTTATAGCTCACCCTGCCTCTGATCAACCACTGCATTTATGCTTGGTACTTAATGTACATTCTTGCTTTGTTTACATTTGTACCCTTTGCACAAAGACAAGAACAATTCTTTAAACATTTTAAAATTATATCTGACCCTACGGTACCATCTGTTGCTGTTCTTGTTGTTAGGTGCTGTTGAGTTGACTCTGACTTATAGCAATGCTATTTGTACAACAGAATGAAACATTGCCCAGTCATGCACCATCTTCACAATTCTTATTATACTTGAGCTCATCATTTAGCCACTGTATCTGTCCATCTTGTTGTGAGTCTTCCCCTTTTTTCACTGAGACCTCCACTATACCAAGCATGATATCCTTCTCCAGGGAATGGTCCTTTCTGACAACATGACTGTGATAGTTAAGTTATGTGTCAACTTGGCTGGGCCTATTTTGAGTGGCTGGTCTGCTGGATGTAGTTATTCCCCATGACGAGACTGATAATCAACTCCATGGTGGAATCTACTGGAGCAGTTGAGTAGCTGTCTTAGGGATGTGGTCTTCTTCCAGTGTATAAGAAGAAGCATTGAGAAAGGTTTCTGCAGCCTTTTTGGCATGCTTGGACCCTGCATGTAGCCAAGTCTTCATTCAGCAGCTTGCCCTGTTGTCAGGATTATTTCTGGACTTGAACTAGTGACCGTCCATGTAGTGTGACAATCTTGGAACTATGCCATTTTGCTTGGTGACATCGGGGTTGCTATCCTCAGCAGCCAGCAGCTGTGTGAGTGAATAGATGCCTCCAGCTCCAATGAGCCAGGGGCAAGAGGTACAGCTGAAGCCCAAGGTCAAGGGGCCTTCATCCAGTGCCTAAAGAAGGGACTTTGAACTCAGACTTCTAGCCTCCTAAATTGTAAGAGAATAAATCCTTGTTTGTTAAAGTCACACATTTGTGGTATTTTCTGTTAGAGCAACCCTAGAGGTAACCAAAATAATGGCCAAAATAGGTAAGATGAAATTTGGCCATTCTCACTTCCAAGGAGCATTCTGGCTGTACTTCCTCCAGGACTGGTTTGTTCATTCTTCCGGCAGTCCATGGTACTTTCAATATTCTTCGCCAACACCACAACTCAAAAGCATCAACTCTTCTTTGGTCTTCTTTATTCATTGTCCAGCTTTCACATGCATATGAAGCGATTAAAAGTACCATGGCTTGGGTTAAGTGCACCTTAGTCTTCAAAGTGACATTTTTGTTCTTTAACACTTTAAAGAGGTTTTTTGCAGCAGACTTTCCTAGTGCCATATGACATCTGATTTCTTGACTGCTGCTTCCATAGATTTTGATTGTGGATTTCAAGTAAAATGAAATCTTTGACAACTACAACCTTTTCTCTACTTATCGTAATACCATCTAAAACAGTAAACAATGAAATACATAAAACCACTGTATATTAACTTTGAAAAAGACCAATGAGGAAATTTGCAACCCTACTTTGTAAGTGCCTGGTGGGACTCCTCGGGAGGAAGATGGGGCAATCTACTTCCGTAGTGATACTGCCTCAGAAACCCAAGGAAGGGTCTCTATGAGTCGGGTCCGACTCGACGGCACATAACAACAACAACAACAACTTTGTAAGTGAGGAACCTAAATACCTGAGATGCATATTTTTAATTTTAGTAATTTTATATTTTTGGTTACCTATTTTTTTATGGCAGATAGTATTTTGTTTCTATTTAAGATATTGATGATCACCTTATTTTCAAATAAATGTACTTTTAATAAAGATATTAATTTAAAGAGAAATATTAAGTAAGTATTAGTACTTGTTGTTGTTGTTTGCCATC